CCCCCCCCCCAGCATCCTTATCTCTCACTTCTGGACACATTTGTCCCTTAGGACCTATGAGAACCTCTTCTTGCCTCCTCCAGCATCCCCATCCCTCTGCCCTGGGCTTGCTGGACCAGGACCTGCTCTCTAAGCCCCCTCAGCATCCCTGTCCCCTCTGGGTCCTGTCTGGGAACATGGTACCCAGAGTGGATTGAAGTCTTTGTTGCTGGAAGCACCCCTCCTGGGACCACCAGGGTCTTTTCCACAGCCTTGTCCATCAATGACTTGTGTCTGGCTGATACCCCAGCCTCTTGCTGGGATTTCAATCCATTCAGACATGGGTGGCATTCAGACCAGAAGGGACGTGGTTGAGGACAAGCAAACCTCAGGGCCCAGCTGAGCCATGCAGCTGCCTTGCTCTACCTATGCTCCTGAATGCTTCATTTGTTTCTCCCAGAGCCCTGGCCTGGGCTGTGGCTGGGAGGGCAAGTGGCTAGAGGCCAGCACTGTGGGTGCCTATTGGTGCGTCTATGACTCTGAAGGGTTTGTCTTCCCTTTTTTGTTGAGTTTTTGGTTTCCATCCCCCAACAGCAACCAAATGTCATGGCTGACGAAGAATCAAGTGCCCGATCCATCAAAAAGGGAAGCTTGTTACCTGACGACTCCCAGAGCAGCACAACTGAGTCCAGCATGCTGCTGCAGAAGCTGAAGAACGCTATCTCGTGAGGGCAGCACTCACCTTTCTTGGGACGGCTTTTCTGGTTAACCTGAGCACTAACAAATGCAGGCTAATTTAATAAGGTTGATTAATTTGCACCCTCAGGGACCAACAGGATACATGTGGGCCTGTGCTTGCAACTTCCTGTTATTAGCATTGGCTCTGCAGAGTGGCATGACCTCAGGCATGCCTTGTTCAGTCCTGTGCTAGGTGCTGTACAGACTGAACAGAGCCCCATGCTGCACTGCTGGTAGCTTGCTGCCCATTTTGGGTGCAAAATCAGCTTAGGGCTTTGCTGTAGCACAGAGAGGTCTGCCACAACCCAGCAGGATGTAGTTTTATGCCCACTGTGCTTTCACTGCATTGAGGTAGAGCTTGCAGTAGTCCTTGCAGACAGACAACTGGACTGTTGGAGGGAGGTTGTGGGTGCACAGTGAAACCCAGAGCATCAGGAGAATAGGGTTAGCGCCCAGCAAGCCACACTTACACATATGCACAGGTAGACTCCAGCTCTTGGTACTCTGTTATCCTCCTCTCAGCACTTGCTTCTGAGGCTCAGCTGACAGGCAGTAGCCTCCCGGATGCTGCTAACTCTGATTGCGTGTGGGTGTCCAGAAAGGCCTTGGGGTAGAGCTGCCACATGTGAGCGCGTTCCCTGTCCTGCTGAGGAACCTGCCGCAGTGGCTGTCCCAGGACAGTGTCCTTTCTGTGGCAGAGGAGCTGGGCTAGAGCAGATAGGTTGAGAAATTGCCCGTGGCTCTGTCCTGGGCACTGAGGCATCATCCTTCTCTGTGTTAATGGCTTTTTTGTCTGTCTCACACAGCAAATCCGTGCAGAACAAAGTCGACTCTATCCTGGTGAGTGCCTCTGTAGCGTGTTGTGCTGAGGGTGAGGGAACAACATGTCTCCACTTCCCTGACATGCTCCCACCCCTCTTCCAGTTAAACTGGGTGCTGTTTTTTACCCAATCCCGTTTCCCATCAGGTAAGGATCTGGCTGCAAGAGTTAGCACCAAGTAAGCCCTAATTGTCCTGCCCGGGGGACAGCACCCACTTTTCCCCAGCCCTTTGTGGGGGCCAGAGGAATGATGATCCTTTCCAGCCCCCTTGAGGGGCAGTCCCTGCCCTGCTCCATGTGATTTCACTTACCCTGTTCCCTTGTGTGTGTGTTAATGCTTACAAAGCTGCTTTGGCTTAAATGTCCCATCATTTACTGCCATTAGGAAGGTAACAAGACCACTCACTCCCTACATCAGCTGTTTCTTCTTTTGGATCCTTAACCTTTCTTTGTCTCTGGTCCGTTCTCCCTCTCCCTGTGGACCCTTTGACCATAGCAAGATGTGCAGAAGTTCTCTGACAATGACAAGCTCTACCTCTACCTCCAGCTGCCATCAGGGCCGAGCCTGGGAGAGAAAAGGTGGGTGCTGGGGTAAAACAGAGCTGTGTTTGGGAGCTTGGCCAGGAGAGCAGAGGCTCTCCGCATGATGGGTGGGAGATGCGGATTGCAAGAGGCCAGGAGGGAAGACTGCCACAGCCCTGTCTTCTCCTGTCCTGTTTACACTGCCTCTCTGCTAATTAAATGTTTGTCTTTTATTGGATTACCTGGCTTCCCTCTGGAGCAGCAGCAGCCTGGATCTGAGTTCGCTGAGCACAGCCGAGTACATGCACGCATGCAACTGGATCCGGAACCACCTGGAGGAGCACACTGACACCTGCCTACCCAAGCAGGACGTCTATGATGCCTACAAGTGAGTGCAGGGGCAGGAGCATCTCTCCCCTAGGGCTGGGCTTGGAATGGCAAAGCCCTGCAGGGAGGTCAGCTCAAAGAGCAATGAGCACCTGGGTTTGTTTGGGAAGGCTTTGCCCACTGTTGGGTACCTAAAATGAGCCACGTCAGCAGGGATAACTGGGTGCATCTGGAGGGCAATGAGAAGGGCTTGATGGTTGTAAACTGCAACTCTCTCTCCAACTTTGGCTCTCTGGCAGGCGATACTGCGATAACCTCTGCTGTCGCCCTCTCAGCGCTGCCAATTTTGGGAAGATCATCCGTGAGATCTTCCCAAACATCAAAGCCAGAAGATTGGGAGGCCGAGGACAATCGAAATATCCTTCCGCCCACACTGCTGGCCTGGGAAGCCATGGGAGCCAGTCCCCAAGGCAGTTGGCAGTTGGACAGGCAGGCAAGAGCTGCTGTTTATGAGATGGTGTTTTGTAGCTACTGGAGGGGGACCAGTTCCTGTTTTTTCAGCTCCTGAACTTTCAGCTTGGTTGTCTGAGCGAGGTTGTGAGTTGCAGGGTGTAGGGAGAGGACATAGCTGGACTTACCAGCAGCCTGGGTTTAGCTCACAGATACTGGGAAATGCAACAAGCAGGGAACAGCCCAGGTTGGCTTGAGGCTGGCTGCTGTCACCATCTCAAAGACAAGTCCAAACCCTTTAGCTGTAGCAGGTGGCGGTGCTGTGAGCCCTGCAGCCGCATCCTTTCAAGTTTTAACCTGTTGCCTCTTGTGGCTGGAAAGCATTGGCCGTGTTCGTGTGGCGCTGAAACACCTTAACCCTGCCAAACGTACTGCTACAGTGGGATCCGGAGGAAGACGGTGGTCAGCTTGCCACCCCTGCCTAGCCTGGATCTCAAAGTGACAGAGACCGTAAGTCCTCTGGTGCCTTGGCCGCTTGAGTTTCACCAGCTCCTTGTGCTATTGTTTAGGCAGGATAGCAGACCTTGCTGCTATGGGAGAGGTTTTGCTCGTTATATCTAATGAAAGCCAAGGTTGGTAGTGGGGAGCCCTCTTCATTCGTGTGTGCTCCTGGAGGCTAGTGAGGCCGGGAGCAGGTTGTGCTCTGCCCCGCTAGCTTTCCAGAACAGTGGATGGGGACATGCCTGCCCATCACACCTTGTATCACTGAAGTGCCCAGGCTTATGACTTGCTGGGGATAGCAGGATCAGGCCCTGTTTGCATCCAGGGAGTCCTGGTGGGTGCCGTAAGGGCTCACAGCTTGTCCTGCCAGCAGCAGTCAGAGCTGACGGATCTGGTGCAGTCCTACAACAGCGAGGTGATGGAGGCAGCCTGCGCCCTGACCTGTGATTGGGCCGAGAAGATCCTCAAACGCTCGTTCAACAACATTGTGGAAGTGGCCCAGTTCCTTATCCAGCAGCACATCATCAGCTCCCGCTCGGCCCGGGCTGACCTGGTCATGGCCATGGTGGTCTCAGGTGGGTCACCGGGGTGGGATGGAGCTGCAGGCCCCACAGGACGTGGTAAGTGAAGGCCCAGAGAACACCCCGCATTATGTTCACTCGCTGCAGAGCCCGTTCGGTGTTCCAGAGGAGCATGGAGGGTTTGGGGCTGCAGGTGGACCCAGGCTGATGCCAGGGGACGTGATATTCCCCATCAGCTGCCCACGGGATGACTGAGTTGCTCTGACCCCTGTTTGGCTGAGCACAGAGGGGCTCAGGAAGGGGTTGTCTCCACTTGGTCACCTCCTGTGCTTTGACAGAGAGTGCAGAGAAGACTCACCGGGACAGTCGGTCTCTGCTAACAGCAAAGAAGAACGGCCTGGAAACCTCGGAGAGCAGTGACGGGAGCCAGGGGCAGGTGAGAGACGGCTCTACCGCCCAGAGAGCCCTCAGTTGGCCTGGCTGGATGCATTGGTGGTTGTTCCTCTGAGCCAGGGCAGGGCCTGTTGCCTAGAGAGGTAGGTTGGGAGCCCCAGGACTCATGGGTTTCTACCTCAGGACGGAGGCACTTGATCTTTAAACACAAGAAAAAAGCTTCAGGAGCAGCCTGGCACAGTGTGAGGCTCTGCTGGGCTGGATGGAGCCCAAGTGACATCTCTCCTGCCAACACCTCTCTTTGCCCGCAGAGCAAGAAGGAAAGTGGCTCCAAGCCTTCTGTCTCGCCCCGGACTGAGAAGAAGAAGCCCCCTGAAGCCCCCAAGCCCATGAGCAGCCCCCAAGTGAACGCCCTGGTTGCCCGCCTGCCCCTGCTCCTGCCTCGCATCCAGCCAAGGGACAGACTCGTG